ATATTCATTAATTCCAGTAGAAGATGTGTGTGTATGTGTGTGTGTGTGTGTCTCTGTGTGTGTGTATTCCAGTATATATATTCTAATGTGTGTGTGTGTGTTCCAGTATATGTCTGTATGTGTGTATATATATACACACACACACACATACACACACATCTTCTCATGGAATTAATGAATATATATATATATAAAGGGAGACCGTCAGAATTAGTGGTATCCATGAGGGGTCTGCGGTGAAAAAAAAACCCAAGAAGCCAGCGAGTTACTCAAAGGTTCGTCTTTCTGGCTCTCGAAAGGAATGCATAGAAAGTTGCTTGGCTGGTGCGCTGGGAACTGCCAAACCCAGACCGGGGGTTATCCTCACCCTTTCCCTGCAGCGTGGACATGCAACGGCTCTGCGTCTGGGCAACTCCAGATGAATTTGGGAGCCAAGACCCTTGGCCAACTCAGGGTCAACAGAGCAGCTCCTTGTGGTCCTTCACGCAACCGCCTCCGCTGATTCCCACGGAGAAAATTCATCTGGGTTTGCCGGAAAACGGTTTGGTGCTGCTGGATGACGTGGGTGGGCCGCTCGGTTCCATCCGGGCGAGGAGGGCAGCACCCGAGCAGCACTAGGACGCAGCTGCACGTTGGGATTCGGACACAAGGCGGTGGCTCCAGTTACAAAGCTTGCTCGGACGGAACTGAAATAAAACGCAACTCATTCTGGCATCAGATAAAACTGCAGTGCAGATTGAAGCCACTTTACCTTCAAGGACAGGTGGGGAGGCCAAAGTGTCCCCTCTAACTCAATATTGTCTTTGCGGCGTGTAATGCAGAACATCGGCGCGAGCGAGCACACTTCATCTCGGCCCCGTTCCGTCAACTCCTGGGTAAGACCTGATGTTCTCATCATAAACAACAGCGCGGCGGTGGTGGCAGCCCTGCCACCCAGCTCCCTCCCTTGCGCGCGGATCCTGGTCCGATGAGACATTTGGCCCAACGTTGCCCGGGGTTGCCAAAAGGCCGAAACTGTCGGCAGGCGGGACTGCAGGCGTCCTCTGGGGCTCTCCGTGACTGCGCTGAGCAAGCATGGGCTCGAGATGGGATTTGGCATCGTGAGAAGTCAGGATGCGAAATGGGCCTGAAAAAGGGATGTGTTAAAATCTGTGAGGCTGGGCTGGGCGGGGCGGGGCGGGCACACAGTCGGTCCCAGCAGGGTTTCTCTCGCGGCCAAGGGAGGAAGCTTGGGGTACATGCATAGCTGGGCTTCTTCCGGAGGCAAGACAGGGGGATAAGCTACGCAAAGGGCCTGCGCGTGGCCGCAGGTGGGGCAGGGCTTGGCCCAGGAGCAGGCCTGGCACCATCCGTGCGGGACCGAGGACCGTCTGGGACAAATCAACAGAAGTCAAAGGGCGATACTGAGGACAGAGAAAAAGAAGAGATCGCTCCCAAGAACACTATGTTGTGATGAAACAGTCTTCCATAAAGCGGTCAAAGCGAAAAGCAAATCAGAATTTCTCGTCTTCTCAAGCCATCTCTGGCCAACTTCTAGCTTCCAAAGTTTCCTTCTGCATAAGAGTCCAAGAATGTTAAGCAAATGTAACAGGAAATGGGCAGAAAATGTGTGTGTGTGTGTGGGCGTGTGTGCGCGCGTGTGCTGCTTTGTTCCGCCCCTCTGAACCTTTTGCAGTTTGGCATCCAGGTAGCAAGTTGAATAAACCTAACGATGTTACGTGGCTGGCCATGACTTGGCAGGGAGACCACCACGGCAGCTCACGAACTCCCAGTCGTCTGACCAAGTATCTGAGATAACAAAAGCAGGAGTCAAATGTCTTGAAATGATTAAGGATGTTCAACAAGGCAATTCAATATTAGGTTTTTTTTTTCTTTTCGTTTTTTTCCCCTTTTTTTTTTGAGCATGTGTCTGTTTGCTTCATTCTGAAAAAAATAGAATATATAAAACTAGATAACCTCAGGAAGATCCAGATGAGGACAGTGAAAAGAGGTTTTGGTCCATAAGGAAATACTCTTTCTTTTTTTTATCTTTTTACTTGATTTTGAGTAACAAAAGTTTTGGTCCAGTTAGATAACAAAATTATATATGAACATGTTAATTTGAATGGTTAATTTTTCGTTTCTTTGTTTTTTGCATTCTGTTGGGTTGTGGATTAAAATGGGGCTTTGTTGCCAGTATTGCATGATCATTTTCTTAGGTTTTCATGTGAAATTGTTGTTAAAATCAAGTGAGAAAAAAAGGAAGAAAAATACTTCTCTTTCTGCATGGGCGTATCTTTGAAATTGCATCGCGAAATGCAACCTTATGGAGGTCGACCCCCCCCACCTTCGGAAGGGTTGATTTGCATGCGGGATTTTTGTTTTCTTTTTGGAAATACCCTGTTAGTGACTCCTGATTCTTATTAGATGAATCCCTGCTCAGATAGGAAAAGAAAAATCAATGTTCAAAACCCTTTGCGGTGGCTCAGAAGACTCCAAACGAAAAGGTTAAAGTGGCCAGGAGGATTTGCCTGGGCTTCTTCCCACCCCCTTCCTCACTTCACTGGCTCAAATATTATTCATTTTCATTAAACTTTCTTTTCTTAGGAAAAAAATAGAGGAAACAGAATAGAAAGGTCTTTAGCTGCGTCTTTTTTTCTTTTTAAGTGTTGAGGTAATGCAGTTGTGTCCTCGTCTGAACAAGCTCCCAGAGGGTTCTCTCGCTGCCTTCTTTCCTTCCCGTCCTCCGGATGGAGATCCTTCCAGAGCTGTTGTCCACCAGGCCGGCTGAGACTGCCGGCCACGCTCTGGCCACGACCAGGACTGAGTTGGTGGGGAGAGGAGGAGCAGCCGCCCAGGAGGAGCTTCCCAGTCGCCAGGAGGAGCCGCGGATCCACCCGAGGGTCAGCCCCCCCAGCCCCCCAGAGCACCTTGAGAAAGAATTCGCCCCCGAGAATCAGCACCGCCAACCGCTGCGTAGCAAATGGCCTGCCCAAATATTTCTGGGTTCTCCAGTTAAATCGTATCCGTCGTCATCATCATCGTCGTCATCGTTGTCCTCCTCCTCCTCCTCCTCCTCCTCCTCCTCCTCCTCCTCCTCCTCCTCCTCCTCCTCCTCCTCCTCCTCCTCCTCCTCCTCCTCCTCCTCCTCCTCCTCCTCCTCCTCCTCCTCCTCCTCCTCCTCATCACTACCATGATTTTCTTCAAAAATAACATACATTGCTCCTAAAATAGTTTCTTTCCTCTTTAAATTAAAGTTCGTTTCTCTCCTTTGTTTGTTCCCGCTTCAGATGTCCTTCCCTCCGTGTTTCCTCCGCTCGCTCTCCTTCCCGTTCCCCGGGGCTTCCTCGGCTGCCGCTGTTTTAAGAAAATATCCTGATGGCCTGAGTAGCTGCTGCGTGGCACACCGGGCACTCGGGGTCGCTCCGCTCACAGATCCGCACGGCGCACTCCATGCAGAAGAGGTTGTGCCCGCAGGGGACCAGAGCCGCCGTCACCTCGCTTTCGAAGCACACCATGCACTCCCGGCTGCTCGAGAGGGATGTCCGGGTGGTGGCGGAAGCACCCAATTTGGAAAACCCTTGCAGGGGCTCCCCCTGAGACCTTCTCGGAAGCCCGGAGAGGGGGGGCTCTTGGATGGAGGACGACGGGGAGCGGTGCGAGTTGGGGTGGAGGGCGCCGGCGTTGCTGGAGCGCTGCTTGGAGAAGAGCACGGAAACCGGGTTGGTGTTTTCCTGGCCAGCCCAGAGAGGAGCGCCCGACTCAGGGACTCCGTAATACAGGTCTTGCTTGTTGACCCCGTAGTTAGGGAAGAGGTAACTGTAATTGAAGTCGTTTTGGTCGTTCAGCCGGGGCGTCTCGTAGGCAGGATCCATGGAGCAGTCGCCGATGCACCCGAGGCTGTTCTGGCGGAAGGTGGAGAGGGGTTTGCACCCGGGGGCCGGGGTGTGGACCCGCCAGGCCTCCGAGTAGCGGTTTTCCATGCCGGAGTCCGGGCTGCTGGACAGAAAGTCATTCTCGTTGTTGTACTCTAGGATCTTGCCCGTCCGGACAGCTATGTGGGTCTCGATTTCCTCTCGGGCTCGCTCCACGTTGCCCGGGGCCCCGGTGATCTCAAAGACGGGGTCCCGGTCGCGGCTGGGGGTGATGATGTAGGTGTTGGTCTGCTGCTGGATCCGCTTGATAGTGGCTCCTTTGGGACCCACCACCAAGCCAACCACGCGGTAGGGGACCCGGACCCGGATGGTGACCTGTCCCGGCAAGGTGGGGGCGCTGCCAAAGGCGGGGCCGGCCTTGTTGCGGGAAGCCCGGATCATGGAGAAATGCTCGGCGGCCGAAATGATTTCCCTCCTGGCCATGGCCACATCCTCCCGCCGCCCCGTCACCATGAAGACGGGCTCTTCGCCGCGGACCGGGGTCTTGATGTAAGTGTTGGTCTTCGCTCTCAGAGCTTTGATTTTGCAACCTGTGGGGCAGAGAAGAAACAGAGCGGAAACAAAACTTAATAGCGAGACCCAAATCTGAAGGCTGCAGGGGACATATACGCCCTACATCTCGGACCGCTGCAGGAAAGACGTTTATGAAATGGGGTGTGCGATGGCTAAAGTGGGAAGGCAGCATTTCCTCCTGCTGCTTCCTAACAGTAAGAGCAGTTCGACAGTGACCCCCCCCCCACTTTGCTGGATGTGTCCAAGCTCAGCCCGGACCCAATTAATCTAGGACAGTGTTTCTCAACCTTGGCCACTTCAAGAAGTGGGGACTTCGACTCCCAGAATTCCCCAGCCAGGCTG